CAGTCAAGAAAAACCATCTTTGAACATGAGTTACATGGTTTTCGTTCGCAATGATTTCATTAATGTCTTCAAGGAAACCTTCAGGGTTTTTCAGCTCATTGAAAAGCAAATTAAGCAAACACTTTAGGAGTACTCTTGCATCTGGATTCAACAGAGTTCAACAGGTTTTGCAAGATTGTCGATAAAAGAGACGGGATCTTTACCATCAAGGGAATACTAACTTACAACGTGTTTTTATGTGGCGTTGATAAACTCGATTTCATGCTCTTTAAATATTTAGAATATTCAAGAAACTCTTTAATCAATACTTTCGATCATCAAAGAGAGTTCGTCCAAGTTTCTTGAAGTTTTGTGGAAGTTTTGACGTATTTTCTTCCATGACTCAGAGCGTTCGTTGTGAGCAGTATTACAAACTCTTTCAGTACTTGCAATCCGAGATGGTTCTTCTAGAATTTTCTACATATAAAACTGACAAAGAGGATTTTTAAATTTTATTCTGTTTGTAGTGAATACTGTTGAACGAGGGGTGACGGTATACTAAAGAATTTGCGGGTGAATCCATTTTATGTCGTTATTGAGGTAGACGGATTCTTCTGAAGCGAAAGAAGAATCTCTGCGGCCTGTTTGCGATCGAACTCATTCGTGTTTCCCAACAGCAAGTTGCTTTTTTGCCACCGTCTCAGAATTAGGCGTTCAGATCACTCATCACCAGAAGTGGTCGTTTATACCTTCGACTATTTTCGGCGACGTTTTCAGCTCCACCTTTCACTTCGTGTGCTGTTCTTCATCGAAATCACAACACTTTGCTGTCCCCAATTCCTATACACAATTTAGCTCATGTTTGCTTTATATCGTTATTCTCATGCGAGGTCTTTTTTCCAGCGCTCATCCAAATATCCTGGTTATTAGGGCTTTCAAGTGTTCGGTATCTTGAAATCGTGAGCTTCTTTTGCAAAGTTCAGAAATCTTTGACGCGAACACAACCTCTGTTTATGTCATTTTATATTTCTCTTCTCTTTATTACAAGACTCCTGGTGAAAAATTTGTCATTATTTAGCATGTTAAAGATTGCCATCAAAAATTTCCAAATTCATCAAAAAAATATTATGAAGCGGTTGTTGTAGTTCCAAGTTCATGAGGTCGGAAGATATAAATCCAAACGCTGTCGTTACCACAGCGCAGCATCATGTTGCGGTCTTCTACGATCGTTCTATCGGAGTTTCTAACAAAAAGGGCAACAGAAGATTTCAATGTTGATGAATAGTCTTCTTTGTTGACCAACTCCTTAAGAGCTCTGTGAAGCTATCTATGAATGTGAATTGTTTTTATCCTACTGAACAAATTTGATAACAATTTACTGACACCCGAGGGATGGAATGCTCCGTTAGACCAGAAGGCGGACTCGAACCAAGGATCACATGAGTACTACGGGGCCCCTCTGATCACTGCGCTAGACACTTCCTGTTCTTCATATTATGCGTTATCGCTTCACACTTTATATTTTATACATCAAATTTTGCATGCATTTCTTAAATCCTATTCGTTTGCGTTGCTGAAAAATAAGAAATGAAAAAATAGAACAGCAAGCAAAACAGTAAGAAACGACTGTCTCCAAACTGCTCAAAGATTTTTTTCGTAGGAAATTCTAAATGTAAATGAAGATGTATCGCTATATATCTGTGTCTGCTCCCTCACTTAGACGTCGCCGAGCCTCACGACTAACTGTTTCCAAATGGCTTTAGTACTGTAATTCAGTTGTACTCGAGCATTACTGCAATTAAACAAATCGTCCTCTCCCATGATCGCCAGCAGTGCCATCACAGTTCACTCTGATTTACATGCCTCTGTTGTCATATATTTCGCTAAATATCTTCAAGAAAGAAAGTCACATAAACGACTAGTAATTTTTGTGAAAATGTGCTGAAACTATCCGTTCAAATGCGTCACCTACTTGGGTCCCATGCTCCAACAAAGCACTGTCATTTGTTCATGCCAGTAAATGACACTGCTTACAATTGCTTACAAACACTGAACTCTCTACCCATATAGATGTGGAGGAAGCTAAGGACCACCATCACCTCTCCACTCTCTTAATATTCAAAGAACAGTGGCTTTCAACTAAAGTTGTGTATAACGTTGTAGTTGATGAAGTTGTAGTTATGTAACTTTTGTTATGTTTTTCGCAATAGAAATATAACGGGATGTCGAAGTAATATGGTAATGGTGATTGTGAAGATGATATTGCCGCTGCTTTTTGACTTTTACTTTATTCTTTTACCTACGTACAATATTCTGAGGTTGTCGAAATTTCTTCGATGTTCTATAAAAGGATCCGAGGTAGTTTACTTTAATACCATACTGTATTACAATGCCTGTAGAGCGGTGGTTAGAGGGGTCCGGCGATACACGTGTCGTCGTCGGTCCCCGGAAGCCATTTATACATGTAAGCGAGATATGCAACGTCACTTTTATGATGCTTAGAGATGTCGAGTACGTGTGCTTACATCAGAGATTGGCAAACTCCAAACGTTTTTAAACTTACACTGCACTACAGTGAAGCCATAACTAAAAAGCTTGGATATTTCTCCTATTGCTCTGTGGAATCAGCAAGACTTAAAGAAGGAGATTTCTCAGAAAACACGAAGAAAAGCAAAAATTGTTTTTAAAACACTTTTTAAAGTCTTCCCGCTGAACAGTCATGTAAGGGTGCTATTCACACCGGAAGTGCGACATTCTTTCAAGAGAATCTGGCATGAATTGTTTCTTTGTTATTAGGAATTCAAAGAGATGGCTGTCGTGGATAGCGGCCATCGATGACCCGAATTCCATATTCTGAGCAGTCGAAAAGGTTATCATACGGATGTTATCTACGCATTCAGACATAGTTAGATAGACATCTACGTCATACACGTGTTTATCGCCATGTCGAGATCCCGCCTGAACACCTTTCTGGAGCTATTGCAGTCCTTCTTCACTTACATTCCATGCTTTCATTTCCTTGACAATCTTATTTCGTGTGAATGCACGAAAAAAATGAAGTTTTATCAGAAGAGTATAAGAAGCTACAAAGTCCATTTTTATCTCTATGTGAGATTTCATAGGAAAAAAGAATCAGCGATGACAAAGGATTTATGTTCGACTGTGTTAGAGATTATAAGTCATATCTCGAAAGTATTCCTCAATAGTTAATAAAAATTCTGGTTTGTCATTGTTCTATTGCACTATTTTTTCTCAACCTCGTTTATCATACAAGTTTTTGTTCGGTTATCTCTGTATATGTTCAAAACGGGGTGGTGTGGTTCTGAAGGACGTTCTCATGGCAAAAAGATCCCTACGTCTCCCTTCCTCCCTTCTCTATAACCTTAACCTCATAATGTGATCTTCTATTGGTGTTGAAGTGATTGCTCTGTCTAACATATTGTTTCCACTTTGTGTCTTTGATTTTATAACAATGAAGCTCATATCAACTGTACTGCACCTGCACTGGATTATAAGAAGTCCTTGAGCGCGTTCTGTCTTTCATTCTTCACATCCAGTCATCTCATTAATTTTTGTCGATGATCGCCACAAAGTGGCGGTAGGGGCCTTCTTTTTTTGGAACTCAGCTCGGCGGCGTTTTTGTTACGATCGTCAATGGCAGGCGGATAGGTTGTTTTGTGTGCACGCGGTATACTCAAGGTTAGGCAAACCATCTCGCACATCGATCCAAGGTTTATTCCTCATCGAATCTCACTTCAGCTCATCGTTTGAAGGGTGTGGAATGCTGAAGCCGCTGAAACCAGCTTGCTAGAGCTCATCGCAGATCATAAAGCGCTTTGATTTTCGATAGTTGGGTCATAATAATTGCAAGAAGACGGTTTTCACTCGAAGTGTTTCAGTGCAAGCCGAACCGGCGTTCGTTCATTATCCATGTGTCTGAATAGTATGGGAAAACACTAATACAACAAGTATTGACTAAAACGTCTAAAACTGTTTTGTATGGAAAAATCTTAACACTGAATTCGAGTCTTATTTGCATGATAACAAAGCCGTTCTAAAATATTTTCGTCAGAAGATAAAAGAGAAGTTGGGTAGAGGATAGCAAATACACATACCTAGCAGAGCTATAAAAATCATTTTATCTCGTTGAACAGGCCAGATGAATTCGTATACGACAGATCTAACGCCATTTGAGTAGGACGATTTTCCAAGGAAAGCTCTGCTCTCATATTTCGAACTGAGGACATTTTTTTATCACGGTCGTCTGTCGACGTTTGTTTAAAAGTGAGGACTCGTCTGATCGAGAGGCAATCAAACATCACCCCACTGTGACCACTTGCCTTCCCTCTCTCACCCCCTCCCCCACAAACACACACCACAGACGTGACCCGTTCGTCTGTATGCAAATTGCGCCCGTAACACAATACGGTATTTGTCCGAAGGCAACCGCCCGATTGGGAGAAGGTGGGCGTGATAGTTCTTCGGCCGTCAGGAATCCTGCCAGCTCCAGCGTTCACTGCGACGACGGCCAGCATTCCGAAACAGGACGGTTCATGTGCGGGAAATCGCTTGAATAGCAATACGGACAGTATTGTAAGTTCACTTCTACTTATTTCTGCTAAGCGACAGTGGGAACTCCATTTTTTAAACAGATTATCATTTCGCCTAGAATATGCTACAAGTCCGCTTCTATCTGTTCAGACAAGAAGTTTGGCGCTGCTATTAAATGTTCCTCGATATCGCAATTGACCACTTCAAGTTCTTATTCCCTCCTCCTGGATTATACATTCATTGGGGAACTTTGCCTTTGTGAACCTTTGTGAAAACGTGGAATTCTTCGTTTGACACTCTTTTCAGACCAATAGAATTTATTTCTATTCACTTCATGCACAAACTGATGGTGGAATCCTATAATTTTTAATTATAGAGCGCATGTTTGCTTCACGACGTTCAAAACTCTAACGCCATTCATAAGTGGTCAACACTATGAAGTTCGTCGTAGGTGATTGTTATCTTTCAGGATGAGGACGCCGTTGTTGGCGTTCCTACCTCTGATCGCAGCTATGCGTGTCGATCCTGAGCGAATAGCGGCACGACTGAGAATTGAAGCTGAGGAGGTCGCCGACAACCACGCCACCATACGAAGTGAACGGCCACGGCGGCAGCTTCAACCGAAAGAAATTAGTATACAGGTGAGGAAAAGCTTAAAGAAACATCCATGATTGCGTTTTTTTTTTCTAGCCGTCTACCTGTTCCGCAGTCCTTATTTTCTTTTTTCTTTACTGTGTAACTTTAACTTTTTACTTTAACGCATCTGGTATCACGCTCAATTTGTCGCCGAGGAACAAAGTGCGTTAAATAATTTTAACCTATTTACCAAGTATAGGGAATGGTTTTTGGTACATCATATCTTGCGAAGCATCTTTATTGAATTGGTTGTTTACAAAAAAAAACCCTTAGAAATAATATGCACAGGGATAGATGCGTACGGTCACATATGTGCAGAATATGTTATTAAGCATAATTATAAAGAGTTCAAAGGATTTTAGTACTTTTTCAATACTTTTGGTACATAGGATCAGCTTCTAGACACAAACTTTTTAACATGCTGCTTATGCTTACCTCTTAAGTTTTACACGAGCTCAATTGAGCGTTTTGAAGCCGCATGGATTCTACGGAGTTCTTTTTGATATCCACATGGCTAACCAGAAAATCCAGTTTTGAAGCGTTAAGAAACAACTCATTTCGAAAACCGCCACTTTCAAGTTAGTCGAACGTCGATTGACATATTTCCCGATTGTGTATCTTGTAGAGAAGTGAATCTTCCCATGACATCTGAGCATTGCGTAGTTCGCAAGGATCAGTCACTATTTCATGTCCTCCTTGGCTTCATTTCGTCGTACTTCCATGGAGTTACATGCATTGTTTTCTGCAAACCTGTATAGTTCTATTAGAGACTAAAGGCTTCCTTTGCCATTAAGTGCGTTCTAAAACCCTTGAAATAAAAGAGTTTTATGTTTTGCTGTCATTTTGGTTGCGAAAACTATTTCTTGAATTTACCGTTGGGTCATTTTTGAAAATCTCTTCACGTGAGACCACTAGGGAAAGTATCGAAATGTATATGCTAAACTTGACCGTGAAACAGTAAAACGGCATACTTCTTCACATTTTCGTCTGCGATAATATACAACTAGTTATTTTCGTGCTAACGTTTTCTCCATTTGGATTGCTAACGTCGAGGTCGCCACAAGAGCTGGCCCCGGGTACGTCATGTGTCCTGAGAGAAACCGTTCTTCAGAGATTTTTAAAATTGTCGTTTAAAAAGTTGCCAGATCTGACGGCGTAGTGTTTTGTGTAAAAATAGTTTTCATTTATTCGTAAGTGCACCAAAAGGAGAAAAAAGGAACCAGAAATTAGTAGGATGCAGAAAGTGAAAAAGTTTCTGTTATGACGATATACTTGGATTTGCGTATGGGCCCAGTGGTTGGAGGCGCCACTGTGACACACACGTCGAATCGAACCCAGCGCCCATGGCCCACCAAGCCTTCCATCCCTCCAGAGTCGGCAAATTGGTGCCAGACTTGCCTAGTTGGAGGATAGCAGCACTGGTTCGATACAGTGGTAGGCCACAGCGAGTTATTGTAAAGGCCAGATATGCATTCAGTCACCTCCAGCGATACTTAACAAAGTTGAATGCATTGCGCATCCCTCATGGATTGATCAGCGCCGAGAGTTTTTTTCATTTTTTACATGGATTTGCTAGTGAATCCAACGAGTTGCATCGTTTTAGGTGACGGCACCGCTCTTTTCTTCGCGGCTTTTTGAATTTGGAAAAGACGCCGAAGATAACGAAGTGCCACAGGCGCTCGATGTTGGAAAGAAAGTGCAACTGACAAATCCTCTCAACTTCTACGGAGAAGACTATAACACTATTTATGTATGATTCATGCATCCGCCGAGATTTTTTCCAAGTTTTTTAGAATATGTGTATAAAAAAGTGATATCAGCTAAATCTTCTTTGTATTTTCCAGTTAAAATTCATCGATTCATCATTAAGGTGCTCTCAAACGGTGCTATTGGATTCGAAGCAAATTCGCGAACCTATAAAGCTGGACTTTTTCCGAGTGGTGCCAGGATGATCGCGCCGTTCTGGAACAGAAATGACTTGAGGAAAGGTGGTCATGTCTACTATAGAGAGGTGACCAGTGAGTTTTTCATTGGTTATCAAGAATTACAACAAAGTTCGGAGAAACGACATATTTAGACGTCATACCCGAGAATACGTATTTTAGGAAATTACGGAGTATGAACAAACGGGATAAGAGTTACTGTTATCCTCTGTGTCAATGAGACAGATCTTAGACAAAAATCTCCTTTTCCTTCTTCTTTAGTAACGCTTTGTATAGTTGAAAACGCCCTTATAGTTGGACTGACTGAGGTACCCATTTGCAGAAGGTAGAGTCTTAGAGCGAGGTCAGAGCGAGATTCGTTACCAGTATGACCGATCGGTTCATGTTAAGTCGGCTGTGGTCGTCACATGGGAGAAAATGCAGCCGCTTGAGGGTACTTCGGCCTTGCCAGAAGAGGTTGTTCTTAATCAAATTATTCTTTCGGCTCTGGAACTTCCAAACCATTATAATGGACATTTTTAATTTCGCATGTATTTGCGGAGAAAACATTTACAGTTAGAAGAGACATCAGGTGCTTGTGAAATATTTGGCTCTAATCAGGTTTCTGTTGAATTTTTGGCTCTATTTCAGAACACCAACACATTTCAAGCAGCTCTATTTATAACAGACAACGGTACATACGCGAATTTCATCTACAGCAACATCGGATGGACCCAAGGAGCTGAGGTAATGCCTAATGTGCGCTCCTTAGAAAACCATTCTTTTCAAACGCTGTCGAACTTGTTCTAATCTCTGCAGATTTAATTTGTTCATAGCGTTTCTGTCGCACTCATAAACGCAATCAGCCCATATTGTGGAGTTGCGTAAAAGCGTTTTGGCTGGTTGTTAGCAGAGTGGGGTGATGTGAATTCAATGTGCTTCCAGCTCTTTTTTCGTATATTAGCTGTTGATTTTGAAGCCGATGAAACCCACAGGATTACGGTTGTACCCGGTCGGCGATCCCTTTTTTGCGGCGGTTAAGCATCTCAAGCGAACCAACTTAAAACATTTTCTTGTCATTGCATATAATTTCGAAAGAAAAACAAAAGGCAACTAAATTACGCCGTTCTTGAGCTGAAGAGTTTTTTAAGTTGCTCTTTGGCATAATGGGTCTCAGCAGCCAACACGAAACTAAAGGCTTCCTAACAAATCTTATAATTCCGCTTTTTTACTTTGCACCAAGAATTTCATCAACGTGGCTATGAGGGAAAGTTGTGCCTTCTTTATTCATGGGAAGAAAAATTTTTCTAGAGCACATCGAGCGACCGCACTTGGGAACGGCACTGTTGTCTTCCTTATTACTATCATCCACATGAAATCCATTGTGCAGATTTCTAACGAAGGCTTTCTATTACTTGTCAAATTTTCAGTACTAACTGCAATTTTTCGCGCCAATTGAGATGTTCAATTTTGGAAGACAGGACATATTATTTAGTGGCGTAGGCCGCGTCGAGATTCTAAGCTTGGAGAGTATGGAGACGGTAAAGGTTGAGGAAAACTAAAAAGCCACTTCTAGTGAAGTATACCTATTATTTGACATTTCCGTTATCCTGAATTCCTGTTTGAAAATTCTATTCTGTTGAAATGGTTTACAATGAACGTCTTACCGGCAAATAATGGCATTTCAGGCCGGTTTCAACCGAGGTGACAACTCCGAGTATTACGCATTGCCCACTTCGGGCACCGGAAATATCATGTATTTGGAGGAGTACGGTAACACGGGCATTCCCGGAGAGTGGATGTTCGAACTGGGTGAACAGCGCGTCGCACGTTGTAAGCAGGGAATCAAAGGCGACACCTGCGATGAAGGTACGTTTTGTTGCGTAAGGCAAAATCAGTACCTCTCAGTGCATTTGTTGAGATCGTGGCCTATCTAAGTGTAAAGATCAGTGTTGCACAACAAATCCACCGTGTCACTAAACTTGAGCTTCATTTGTAATTTCACTGGAATAATAGCCATGGATGAATCATCAGGAGGTACGATAGTGGTTCACAGTCCTAAGCCGAACAAACAAGGGTATACGGTAGTGTCTTACAGTCCCGAACAAGTATATCGATGCCTAATTCAGGAAATGGTTAACCAATCGTTCTCAAGGCTAGGCAAATATGATGATGGGAATCGAGTCAGCTACCGTATACGCATATGTGGCGCTTTTTTCCACTGTGCTATATACGAAATTTTTGCTAGAATAGACAAATAAAAACCGGAAGCAGTGCTTGTTATCTTGAGTTTACTACGTTCATAGAAAGCGGTTTGAATATAATATGTACTTCGTAAAATGTGTTAGTCTTTGAAAGTTTCTTAGAAGTATCTGTGTTCTTTCATCAATAATGTGACACAAGGTTGATAAAAGACTTTATTTCGCCAATGTTTCGGCGCCTTCTGCTTCCTCAGAGCTGGATTGATTTGATTCGATTATCCACACTTGTTCCTTCTTCCGACGTGGGTTATCGTGATTCCATGGGGTTGAATACAATGGACCACCGCTCGAATGAAGCAACTCACTCGCAGCGCTCTTTTGTACAGAACTGTTGTTGTCGATAGTGATTGACCGTTGACAATCGTTCGTCTTTCTACGGACAATCCATCCTGCAGCATCCTGCAAATATTGTGACGCTCTGTGCTAGCCAATAATGATACAGCCTGCTGCGAGATAGACTGTTTGGAGAAAAACAACCGATTATCAACGAACAACCACAATCGACAACAACAGTCCTGCATAAGAGAGCGCTACCGAGTGATATTAGTTCATTCGAGCGGTGCACCACTGTATATGACTCGATGCGTTCTCTGAGACTCCCAGTGCGAGAAAGAACAACTGTGGTCAATCTAATGGAACCAATCCGGCTCCGCAGAATGCGAAGGCTCACAAACGGTGGACAAGTATAGTCTTTTATGAGCCTCGTTTTGGCTTTGTTAACTTGTCAATGAAGAAATACATGTCGATTTTACATCGAGTTCAAAAGAAAGTCGGAAAATATGCGTTCATTCACTTCTACAATGCTTAATGGAATCAAAAGCATAGGAATTCTCTGAAAGATGCCCAACGCTTTTATGATTTACGGTTTTCTTTACAGTCCTGAAATTATTCTATAGCACTTCTCATATCCTAAAATGAGTGGAATTAGAGCCTCACATTGTAGAAGGAGTTCCTGGGTGTCGGGCTGCGATGTACAGCTGGCGGATTCATCCCCTGGCAAGGTCTTCCAAGCTGTGAAGGAGTCCGGCGTTTCCACCAAGGAGCCTAGCTAAGAGCAAACCAATACCATGATCCACTACCGTCTTGGTATCAAAGTCGCATGGTGGCAGAACTCACCTTAATCCACAAGGACTGGGACTGCCTGTGGTGGTGAAGACCTGGGCAGACTTTGCCCAGCCTGGTCTCGGCATTTCAGGGAATCACAATGGCTTAACCATCAAATCTTCAAAAAATGGAGAATATGCTGGGGTTCGCACAACCAGTGGAGACGGGCTGTTTAAGTATCAAGTTTAGGTACAGGCCGTAGAATCCGTTCATAGGTAACCCATGAAAAGATTAAACCAAAATGTTTGCGCTATGGTAGCTAAACTCTACCTGCCAATACTTGTCTGGGTATTCTTGAAGATAAGTAGAATATAAGAGGAAGGCTTCACTAGTACTCACTTTCAACTTCAGATATGCCTTGAGAGAAACTTTTCACTCGATATGTTTTCCATGTCCAGAGTGCTTTTCCTACGCGGGATTCTAGTATATATCCATCAGCATGCTGCATCTCTACAAGATTAACAATAAAACTTTTAAAAAGACATGCCCTCTACCATAAAACCTTTCTATAAGAAGTAAACTCTGAAGCGACAGTATTATTTTGGAATAAGGCAAGACTATTAAGACTGAAGGCTTCCGTTTTTCACAAGATTTATATTGCTTTAAGAACTAAAACGCTCATTACCTACTAAATGAATGTGGTGGTTAGATTTTAATACTCCTTAACTTGGTTTATCAGCTTGTTCTCGATAGTGGTCAATCGGCGTTCACTTGCATCGATAAAACTGTATAACTCGAAAGATGACAGCTCGTACTGAATAGATATCAGCCACTTTCAGAATGCGCTTTTGGTGAATGGGGAGCAGACTGCGCGCTGTGCTGCCACTGTGGGGAAGGCACCTGCCATCCGCTGACCGGTGAATGTCCGAAGGGTTGTGCTGAATGCTGGACGGGAGGAAATTGTCAGACAAGTGAGTGATACTGTCTGTCTAATGCCTTTTGCTTACAAATATTGAGAAGCTTGTGAAGAACTGCCTTTTTGGCTTAGTGAATGAGAGCGAGTGGTACGATCTTTTGTGTCTCTTGCTTCAATTCATGCAAAGAAAGTGTGTTATTTAAAACAGATTCACGCGCTACGTGGCGATAATTTTAACCAAGCTATTTCCACAAAATGTCAAAGATAGTAGTTTTCGTTTTCATGATTGGGCTTAAGCTCTACCAGTTGAACGTTCTGGATCTTCAATCGATAATCAACCGATAACACGATCCTCTCAGCAATCTTGCAATTCTCAGCTGCCTCGATATTTTTTTTAAAACCTATCAACTGAACTCGTAAAGGTTTCTCTTACCACTGAACTGACTGCCATTGTTAAGGTTCAGAAGGCCAATTGCGTTTCCACTATTTGCTTTCGCACAACCTCTAAAGACTACATACGCGAAGATTTCCTTTAATCGCCACTTTTCCACCCTCATAACCATCGTCTTCCTCTGGTTCGCAGTTTTTTTAAGCAGAGAAAGTGTTAAACACTGTATGTCCATATTGACGGATAAACCGCGAGCTTTCAATGTGCATCTCAAATGACGCGTGTAGCACAGTGTTCGAAGGCTCTTTGCAATACACTTTAGGTCGATTCCTGCGCACCCAGGCTCACCAAGCCTTCCATTCCTCAGGGTCGACAAATTGATACCAGACTTTTCTGAGCAGAAAGCAGCACTTACTCGATACATTGGTAGAGCACCACGAGTCAAGACCTGATTTGCATTTAATCATTTCCAACGTTGCTTAATGAAGTCGAATGCATGGTGCATCCCTCACGGATTTATCAACACCGAAAGCTTCATCCTTTTATCCTTTCGTCTCAAAAAGGAACTGTCTTATTTTCTTGCACAAAAAGCCACTTGATATTAAACCGTTGGAGGGTTTTCGGCAGAAAGATATCTGCTCCTATTGAATTATCACAAAGCAGCTCCAAAAGGAAAAACCAGCGCTACATCGGTTTTTTTCTTTTAAATGTTCGGTTCGATTTCAAATGAAAAGTAAGTGAAAGACTACTAGTGCATTTTGTTTATTTATTTAGTAGAAGCAGGCAACACTTACTTCATTTCTTCTCGAGCAATAAAAGCGGCCCAGTAGCGGTTATTTTTGGGGTAGAATAAGCATCCTTTTGAACATGTTTTAAAAGCTGGTGATAGAATAAACTGAAGATTTGTTATCATAACGATCTAATCACAAACCATCTTTATTTTCGAAAACACAGAATTGTTAAATGAACTGTGAACTCCCCATTAGTGAACCGGTTGATGTATTCCATTTCGATGTAGGTCAACGCACTTTTTCGTCTTTATAGAGAAGGAGAATTGTAATGCACGTGCTTCTACTCAATGTGCTTCAAACGCCATCTCCTTTACCGACTACGATCGATGTGGCGAGTCCATACAGAGATGTCAATGTTTATCCGGCTTCACTGGCGATGGATACAAAGGCTGTCATGGTACGACGAACGCTATTCCCCTTAATCGCGTTAATCATTGAGTGTTTGAACAAGGAACATAAATTCTCCATTCAATCATGACGTTCATCTAACTTTCTATTGATCTCTGTTCGGTTAACATGGAACGTTGCCACACTTTTTTTGTGAAGTATTTTAGTGCGCTTTTTTATTCAGAGAGTACGTGGCTAGCTTTCAAGAAGTGACTGAACATATTTCCAGGTTCTTGTCGGAGTTTTCTGAACAGGCATAGGGCTTACTTGTTGAGAATGACGCAATAAACCGCCATCCGTACACTTTAGAAACACTTGACCGTATATTTTTAGCTTGATCATCGTGGAGATTACAACCCACGTGTGTGTGTGTGTGTGTGTGTGTGTGTATGTGTGTATGTGTGTGTGTGTATGTGTGTATGTGTGTGTGTGTGTGTGCATCTATCCATGTATTTGTGTATGTGTGTATATGTATGCATGTGTGAATGATTATGACTTCGTGTATGTCAAATAGAAACGAATCTACTACGTGTATACCAAAAGTATAAGTGACCTATCTTCTGAGACCTACCGCTGTCTAAACAAACAATGGTCACTTTTGCTCCTCATTTTATCACTCCTCACCCATAATCACTGGTATAAATACTTATTCCACTAGTTTTTCTCTTTTTTCTGTTTTGAAGTGTTTTTCAACCAGGATCACACGACGCCTTTACTAGAACTTCAAAACTCGCCCATGATTCATACCGTCAATGATTACGTTTAGACATCGACGAATGTCGAGATCAGGTCTGTCATAAGAACGCAGCCTGCACGAATACACCCGGACGCTACTTCTGCCAATGTCAAGAGGGTTTCTCAGGTAACAAGTGCGCCATGCCAACATTCCTGTGCATCCAAGTAGCACATCGCTGCATTCTATTTTTCATGTTACCGTTAAAGAGTACACCTGCATTATGCCTGACTGCCTTTGTCCAATGAAACCACCTGGAAGTATTCCCCTCTTTAGGCGATGGAGTATCTGAATGTGTTGCATCTTTTTTGTTCCCATCAGACACCCACCAGTCGTTACCAAAAACCAAAACATCAAAGGTGAAACAAGCATTTTGTTTTCTTTATTACTTCATCGTTGCTTCTCCTTTTTATTATTCGGAGGAGCAAAAACTTTTACAGTTCAGTGAAATTCTTCCATGTGAGGAATGAGTCTCTTGCAAGACAATTTTGCAATTTTTAGGTTCTTTGGCAACTAAAAACACCGATGAAGTTCTTCGGAAACATTTATGAGCAAATTACGGTATGGAAAAAGTTTTCTTACCTTTCAACTTCTAGGTCTAATATTCACAATACGAGTTTCTGGTGAAGCATAGACTTGATTTTAGCTTCGCTGGCTTTTTTATCTGTTAAAATCTTCAGTGTAATCCGAGCCTTGGTTAAATGCTTTATTCGTTTATATTTTATTCGGTTTTCATTATTTTTTTGGTAATAATGAAAAGAACAGTATGTTGAAGGTAACGACATCTGGGCTGTTGTCGTTGACGGATGTGCCAAAGTCCATCGGTGACAAGTTGGAAGAACTGCACGTAACTGGAGTAGCACCGTTCTTTGCTCCTATCGACACCAGCAGAGGTGGACATGTGACGGTCGCTGAAGTCACCGGTCAGCTCTTCAAACACATTTCAGTCATCAGCAAATAAAATAACAGCAGTGTTGCCTTTATGAGTTCTTGAGAAGCTTCCAACTTGAGAGTTCTGTGATTTTTTGAAGTGATTTTCATAGTATTCTTGGGTAGGAAATCACCTGTCGTTTGCAAAAGTTCTCGAGAATCGACTGTTTTTAGACTCGGACACTCTAACGCGAGTTACTCGCGCCATCCAAGAAAGTTTTGTGGAGCCGTCGTTCCAAGCCAGAAGCGTTCTCATTGTTACCTACATGAACGTCACCGATGGAAAGTCACAAGTATTGTGATTTCATCAATGTGGTTAAAGGAACTTCTGCGAGAACTTTTTGCAAAAATTAGAAAATTCTGGTTGTATTTACTAAGACGACTTGAACGGAGCCTTTTCTGTTATTGTCGCTTGTATCACTATCTTCAGAAGAGCAACACCTTCCAAACATTATTGATCAACGGAAAGAATAGTAAGAGGGAAAGAATGACATTCGCTCAGATGCTCTACAAAGAAATGCAATGGAGTGGTGGCGCTGAGGTGAGACAACTCTAATTTATATCCTTGAAAGATAAGTATGTATTTGGACGGCTACCAACTAATTTCACTGTTAACAAATTGTTGACGAAAACTTTGTTTATTACGTAATTATGATCATATAATTCCATCATATTCCATTAATTTTATAATAATTGTTATAATTAGAATCATTATTCTATAATCCACCCTACTCAATTATCGGTATGGCGAAGTGGTTAGTTCACGTAGTTCATTAGGAAGAGCAAGCTGCTGGTTCCACCTCATCTCAACGGTCTCCTCCAATCCACGAGGAAAATGCTTTGGCTCGCCTATCTGCAAGATTGCAAGGAGAATCGACTCAACCAGAATTCTACGATGTTTCTGTGTAAAACAAAATTCTCAAGTAGTAACCGAAACAACACGCGAGATGTTGATGGATGACGAATACCACGAAGATGAAACGAAGGCATGAAATGCTGGGATCCGCACAGTAGATGTGATGATGATTGATGTAATAATAATGTAACGATACTAACCAGTCATCGCTAAGTGTAGTAATTTCGGCTTTCGGTCATGTCATCTTTCACCCATTAATATCTTTACGCTATTATTTGGCTCACCCGCCATCACACTTCGCTCAAGTGTCGAACATTTCTACACCTTCTCTCGCTACTGTGGTCTCCTATCTACATAATTCAGGCATTCGTTGCTAGTACTTGTAAGATCCTCGAAACCAAACTTAACTCTTGCAACTGTGTACTTAAACGACGACAGAGACGTTCGTCCACTTAACTGATGCTTTCTTTGCTAAGAAGTTGTTAATGTGGTTTTGAAATCGAATGGCTCCTCGATAACATCAGCAGTACAGTGAGACGTCGACTATGCTGAAACTCGAAAATGAGACGTCTTGAAGTGGCCAGTGATATCTGTCATGCCTTTTCACACATCGGCCACATATTCGGGGGTCAGACTTAGCTAATAGTGTGCATCTAGATGGATTATCGGAGAAAATGGAAAAAATCTACGCGCTTGATGGCCTGCCTTGCGAAATTGTCACGGTTGCCTTCAGCCGAAGTTCGCCGTTGATGTTTTCGTTAAACTTTGCACTTTTTCACTAAACTTTTTTAAAAGTCTTCAAGAAATGGTCACTTTAAATACCTACTAATCCATCTACGCAACAAAGGTTTCTCATTGATGATCCATGCGTTGTTGGAATTATAACATCTCCTTATAATTCACCGTTCTTGACGTGAAAACAAGGGGTTGTTATTACGTCATTTATTAATACAAAACAGCTGACTTTCCGGTGGTTTTGCTTTCGTGAGAGCCTGGAAGGGTTAAATTTGGCAAGAAAGCTACTCAGTCAAACACTTTCATTACCTCAGCAGACAGAACATGATATGTGAATTTGTATTCGCATAACAAACAGCTTCTTTTAAACACTCAACACTTTAAACTTTATTCTTTGTAAGTCTTCCAGTTAGTTGATGGAGAGCAGCCACACAGAGCCCTACATGGGCAAAGAATGTGCTTGGCTCAGGTCAAAGAATCAGCCTGAGGTATGGCCCTAAATCAAGCCTGCTCACAGGACACTCCTCCTTGCGGTTCACTTTTGGATTTTTGGAATTTATGTTCAAGAGATTAACGCGCCGGTGTTTTGGACTCCTGCGCTGCCTTTTACTTCAAGATATCCTCTATGTCTCTGTGTGTCCTATCCGCAACGTAACTTCAGTGTTGCCGGTTTTTTTGTACGTATTCGCAGTGGTCTGCCCGTTCCCAGAAATGAAAAGCCGTAATATGTATGTAAAAATGTCTTTAGGCCTCAATTTGTCGAAAGCTTTAACCTTACTATTGTTCGTTTCTTCGTTCGTGTTATAAATCCATCCATAATCCTACCTCGAAATTTCCGTCAGCGACTTGCTGTACATTTTATCCGATTGTTAGTCTTAGTCATAAGCTTTTTCTCCTTGGAAGCATTCATGTTAAGTTGGTAACCTTTACCTGGAATAGTAAATCTTCATGAAGGATAGAGAGCTTTTAGCTAGTCACTGGTGACCCTTGATGAGTCCTTCTCTGTCCAGATCACCTCTTTCGAAGCACCTCTTGTTGAATATGAGTAGATATCACTGCTATCTTTCTTTCTAGGCGAGTATTTTTCGGAAAAATTCGGATTTCGTAGCGAACAAAATTTTAAGAGGTTCACACGATATATTGTTAAAAAAGGAAAACATCAGCAAAGCTACGGTACAAACTTGAATCCATCCGAACTAGTAAACCCCTTGGCTATTGAAATATCACTTGATGTTGTAAGAAAACTGGCTTTTGTTTGTGCAGGCTGGCATCGTTCTTAATGACGTCTCGTCATCCATAACACTTCCCGGGTCTGGTACTCAAGGTATAGAGCAGCTCACTCAACTCAGCAATGTCGGCCATCCAGGAATATGGCTGTTCAGAATCGGTGAGCGATCAGATCTTTACATAGTGTTATATATATCGAATGGAAATACCGAGATTACGCTAGATGAATGACTAATTTAGATGAACCCTCCATCCAACCGTGTCCACTGGCAGATCAACAACCACCTTATTGTCAGAAGAAGGCACTACATAATAATCGAACTCATCCATCACGAACTAATCAAAATTCACTTGGTTCGTAAAGTTCACCAGCGATTTTTTAGTCGAAACAAGTTTGCCTAACTATAACTCAAATTCCAGGTTTTCGTCAACCTACTATTGGTCCAGGCGTTCGTGCTGGAAATACTCCAATCGTTGGTATTGCCCTTGAAGGTCCACGAACTATCGTACCTCAACTTGAGCCGGCACCAGCCACTCGACATAGTACGGTCGTCACCTCTTCTATTATGGTAACTGTTAAAATATGTTTATTACTCTTCTAGGTTCGTGTCATTACTCTGCATTAGGAGTGAGGAATTTAGATTGTAAAACATTTTAAAAATCGTCTATTTGTTCTTGAACAACATTTTATTTTAGCTATATTTTAAAGACATATTACTTTAATACAATACCGTTTTCGAAAATTCAAGGGAGTTCTACTACCATAATTGTTGCAAGCTCATCAGTAGGTTAACTGTTTCACTTGGATGCTTGTCTGGCCCGTTCTCACTGGTTATGCGGGCCGCACCATAATTTCCATTCTTCGGAGACTTTCTGGTTTAACTATTGTGGTTTTCTGGGGTCGCGGCAACAGCCAAGCCAAAGTCTGCTCCAGGTCGTCACCACCACAGCAGTCGCAGCGCTTGTGGATCAGAGGGAGATTTGCCACCATGCGACTAGTCTGATATTAGGACGGTGGTCGATCATAGCATTCGTTCACTCTTAGCTGGACTTCGTGATAGAAAGGCCGAACTCCTTAGCTTGCGAGATCCTGCTGAGAGGATGAATCCGCCCGCTGTACATCGCGGCCCGACACCCAGGAACATTTTCCAGCCACGATGGGGCGGTAATCCGTTGCGATGAGTTAACTGCTAATGAAACGTCAAGATTGAAAAAGTCAAACGTAGTCGAACCAAGTCTATTTTTTTGAAGGTACGACGACAGCGAGTTTGAAACCAGTACGTTATATTTCAGCGCTTCCTATATTAGAACTTCGTAATTTCATTCTCTGAGAAAAAGAACGTATTATGAAACAAATTCTCCGAAGAAGGAGTCATGTAAGCAACCGTTAAGAAAAAATCAGCTCAATGAAAAATCTCCAATTTTTCGGCATTCGCCTCACTATTTGGTAGCGTTATTTCAACAAGAAATCCCTTCTATCTTCGATCACTAAAACAAGAGATCAAGCATTCAGCATTGATTGATCTTTTAGAATCACCCTATGAGCCACCGACTTCATTAAGAATCGTAAAGATGACTGAATGCATATTTTTTGTATAACTTTCGGTTGTCAAATGGTCTGCTAAACAGTGTTTCATCCCACTAGGCAAGTTGTACCTATTTATCGACCGCTGACAAACCTGCAGTAGCTGGTTTAGCCAGGGTGAGGAATTGAATCAAAAGCTGCGCCTGCATTACAGTGCACCTAATAAACCACTGCTCAAGGTTCGCCTTAAATATCAATTACCAGTCAAACAGAATTTTCACCTCACATAAATTAGTAACTTGAGCTTTATTGGTGATTCGATAGATTCTGATGTCCTTCACCTTGTTTTTCCCTCACCAGTCACCAGTTGGTGACATACAGTATCACGCTCATTTACGCTAACGACTTTCAGCTTCCGCCTACTCAGACGACGGTCTCACCAACATCAGCGAAAACTACCCGACCTTGGCCCCGATACGAAAGCACACCGCACCGGTATGCAGGAACAACTGTTAAGAATTTTAGTGTATGGACATTAAGAACGATAACTTATAAGTCACTAATAAACTAAGCCGTATTACGAAGATAGTACTGAAGAATTGTAAAAAGTAATTAGATGCTCTTCAAACTTTGAAGGTGTTGAAAGTGTTATTGTGTTCGAGTTTTTAAATCAGAAATTCTCAAGTATTATGTCTCTATAAGAGAAAGAAAAGTGCAATGCTGAATGGAGGTCATATTTAAAATCTCATGAACGAAGTGGTTTCGCCTTTGTGGTAGATAAAGTGCTGTCCATTCCAGACCAATAGTTTCACTGGAAGAGCAAGACTTCGAGGAGCTCGAACCGGATGTCTTCGAATTGACCATTCCACCATTCATTACAGCCGTTCCAGAGATGTTCACTCCGAAAGAAAAACTGAAGCCGTTGCCCGACTTTACATTGCAGGTGACTTCTCTAACCAAAAATTGGCACAACTATTTTAATTTGAGCATTTTACTCTCAGCATACATGAAATCCTTGAAACGTACATTGGTGTGCGCTGAAGAATTTACCATTGCTGTCATATGTTGTGTGTGTAGAGTTGAAATCTTGCAGGAAACCTCGGCGACAATAAAGTCATCTACCGTGGAACTGACGTTCCCCACGTTCCCCACCTTTAAACTCTCCGATGTGGAAGAGATTCCTAGCACTATGACGAGCATTAACTTCCGATCCGAAGGTACCTCTGGGAAAACCGGTTCTCTACCTTCGATCACTGACGAGCTGCAAACTGGACAAGATATCTTAAAAATGATAAATGAACTGAACACCACCAGTGGCCTCTCGAGCGAGTTTCTACCTGAGTTTACTGACAAGGATCTAATATTGGGGAAGGTAATCTTTTTCCTTTCCATTAATATGACGAACTACAATGAACATGAGCATTCAGTTTTTAAAACTGCTGCTTGATTCCTGGAAGAATGAAAGAGCTGAAAGGCCTAGAGTTGTTGCAATCGACCACATTTTTAAAATTTAATTATAATTAGGCGAAATGAATTGAGGGTTTTTTAACTCTAAATTTGGTGACTCTGACGCGGTTTTACTCTAAAAACTTTTCTATGACACTTAAGACGTTTGTTTGGCCACACAGTTGACACGTTGGCTTAAGTACACAATATCTACCCAGTTGATAACTGTGCCATAATATTCGGGAGGATGGTTGGTAAATTCCTAGCTTGAACTTTGTCCCAATTTTTGATCGAGGGGTGACAAAGGTTGGAAAATTAGAAGTTATCGCAAATTATCTTGACCTAGACCACTGCGTCCTCATGTCTTTTTTTTTCTCATGAAAGACGACGGGGCGGTCACGACTACAGTTTTTCGGGGTGAATGCTGATGGCAGTGGTCAATAGAAACAACTGAAAGACAGGCGAAGCGGAGGATCCTCATGGTGTGTGTGGTGGTGAGCGTGTTAGTCCCTGGAAATGCTAATAGTGCGTTCGTTCCGCACCACACACTCCTACGGTTCGGAGCTCTGCGAATATCTCAGCATGATTATAGCTACATTTTTTCCATCTATAATAGTTTACACATCTCCAGCAGAATTTTTCAATAGCCTAATCTTTGTGAATACCAATGGCTAAAAACACTAAAGTCGTAGGTGTGTATTTGAAGAAAATAACAGAAACTCTTTGTTGGAATTTACTTTCAACAGAAAAGATTTCTTTAGAAATCTGAAGTCGCGAGCGCTAATGAGCTGACTACTCAAATGTCCACCACGTCTCCTTCAGCTACAACAGCGCAGATATTCGTTTTCACAACTACCAGAGCGGTAATGAAATCTGAGAATCGATCTTTTTCCTACAATGACTTCCTAAATCTACATTAACTTTCCGTAAGGCGCCTAAATTCATTCAGTAACTAACTGTTTTCTTGATAACCTAACACGAGGTTGTTATTAGAGCATTTATTAACACATAATAACATTTCATTTCGGCGGTTTCGCTTTCTTCAGAGGTTGAATTGACATGCAATCTACTCAGCTAAGCACTTTCATAACCAGAGGAGATAAAACCTATTACATAAATTTCCACTCGCATAATAAACAGCGCGTGTGGTGCAGTGGTCGGCGGCGCCCTGGAACACACGGCGTGGAATCGATCCCTGGGCCCGTGACCGACCAAGCCTTCCATCTCTCCGAGTTCGACAAATTAGCACCAGACTTGTCTGGGCGGACAGCGGCACCGGCTCGGTACATCGGTAAGCCACCACGAGTCATTATAAAGGCCAGATATGCATTCAGTCACTTCCAATGATACTTAGTGAAGTCGAATGCATGGCGCATCCTTCAGAAATTGATCAATACCCAGAGCTTTATCGTTTATCCTTTTAAAACAAACAGCTTTTTCTGAGCACCCACCGTTTTGTTCTTTGTAAGTTCCCCAGTTATTTGATGGAGACCAGCCGCACAGGTTTTCATTGGAGAGAAATATCCTTGGAAGCCAGTGTGGGTGGTGTCCACCAAATAACTGGAACACTTACAAAAATCCGAATTATAAGTGTTTTAAAAAAAGCTGTTTATTGTGCGGGTGAAAATTCACGTATTAAGTTTTGTCTGCTGAGTTTAAGGAAGTGTTTGGCTGAGTAGATTTCATGTCAGTCTGACCGTTCCAGACTTAGCTATTATGTATTAATAAATACTGTTATAACTCTCTCGTCTTTACACATAGAGAAAAGCAGTGATTTAACCATAGATGCCGAAATTAAACGATCGTGGGTTAGGATTTAAGTTCATCGAGTTAAAATCAAGAAACGTCAACATGATGATCAACCGAGATAACAATAAGCCATTTTCATGCGGTACAATCAGAAATTCGTACCTAGGAGAAAATTTAGAACAGAAACCGAACTCGAGGTTTCTACTCTGAAAATGGCCAGTTTTACGCTAGTTTTGGCATGGCTAAATATTATATCCCTCTTTTGACAACTTCGATGAACTAACTCTGTAATTCTATAAAGTTAAACTGTGCCTCGTAGTGCTACCGGAAGAATTTAGATGACAAGATTGACTCCGAAACGACCGCAAATCGTTACTGCCGGCACGAGAACAACAATATTCGATGGAGACGAGGATCGGGATGCAGCTGCAAGCAGTGAGTTTCTTTCTTAAAACACAAGCCTCTTGTCTTCGTATGGTCAAAAGCAAAAGTACAACCATTTTTAATTGGTAAAGTCTCGCTTCTCCAGAAATCGCGATAATCATTCCAAGTGTGATCGTTGTCGTATGGGTTCTGCTGCTTGTCGCAATAGCAGTCTTCGTCTGCTGTAGAAGAAGGTTAGTTAGCTGCCAATTCACTCCTTCATTCATAATTTATAATTTATTAGAAAATCCAGTAGATATTCCATTCCTTCATTTTTCTAGTTGTGTACTTTTGAGAATAATAAGGAAGAATTTGAAAGCGCTTACTGGAATATTTATGGAACATGGTAGATGATCACGAGAGACTTTCCAATCGAAGCTTCATTGGGGTTTGTCACTATCCAAGACAAGCTGTGGCGTGGAGCTAGATGGCACTTGCTAACAAGTCGTCAAGAAGATCTCAACAACAAAATTATATACCGCTCATATACTTCGAGTAAAGGGCGCACAGTTGAGAACTATGGTTTATGATGTTCATGTGTGGCTATGTTACAGTCTGAAGTCGCTCCAGCAAAACCGGTAGGTCATGTAATTCAGATGGCTGAACTCCCATTAACAATTTAGGCAAAGAGAAAACAATTTATCTGCAAAAATAACAAAGCCCAGTGCTCCATATAGGAAATGATTCAAAAAATCATTAATCTTGTTGAGTTGATAATCTGTTCAATATTTTGAAGTTATCACATAGCTGTTGAATTCGACGTTTGTCGTGGATTTAACTCTTAAGGAGTAGTGGTGGAAAAATCTTGTGAGCATCGGCTACAAGATATTCGGCTTAATCTCGTTGTTTTCAGGTCTTCATCAGCGCATCTTCGGCCTTATGGTCCAGTGTATTCTGTGCAGTCGACAGCATATGCTGTGAAGCGGAGCGGCAAGTCCGTTGACGGCTCCTACGAGGACCAGCTAGAAAAGGCCACTAGACTCAGCAGCGAAATGAACACATATAATCAGGTGGTTCTCTGCGAAGACATGATGTGTTTCAAGATTTTTCTTAGAACGGGGCGTGAGTGTAAGAGTGTTAAGTTTCTGTGAAAGGTTAAGAGATAATAATGCAAGCAAAATGTTGTAAGAAAGAGAAAAAACTCTAGGAAATTCCCCAATATATTAAGCAACGGATGTATAAAAAGTTTTTTTTTTGATGTATACTGGCCTGTTTGGTCCTTTTATGCACCTCGTGTAAGTTTACAAATCTGATCTAGTAAAAAAATCTTTTTGTAAAAAAATAAAAAATAAAAACTTAGTAACCCTCCGGCCTTTTCGAAATTAGGAGAGGAACAAGCTTAATATTGACATCTATGTGCCGGCTGATCATTGTCCTAGTTACTATGTGCTGTGTGTCTTATCTTGTTGATGTTTTCGTTCTATACTCACTAGGACTAATCATTATAATTTGTTTGCTAACACTGGGACGTTTCAGTCTGGTCGGGTGTCATTGTATGGTTCGTACTGGAATTTAAATAACTCTCCCAACTTGAATCTCTCAACGAATCGGCAATATTCTTCACAGTATAATGGGTACAACCCATCGGTAAGTTCTTAATCACACACTGTCTTCGAAAATCTGCCGTGCTTGCCTAGTTTCTCAGAAGTTCTCTCAGAAAGTGGTGATACTGCTCTTCCATTGTTCTGAAGTGATTCTCCATAGTTTGATAAAGGAATAAATAACAACATTAACCACAGTGATCCTGAGATTTTTGCAAAACTCTGGACCGCAGGTGTCTGCGGTGGCGAACGAACGCGCTGTTGTCCTTTCCGGGGAGTAACGCGTTCACCACCACACTCCCGTTGATGGCTGATTGCTGATGGCAGTAGTCGATAAAACTAACTGAGACACAGGCGAAATGTATACTGTAGTGGTATACTGTAGCAGACACCTGCGGCCCAGAATTTTGCAAATATCTTAGCATCACTGTGGCTGTTTCACAAATAATACCCTCCCGTAAAAACTTGTAAAAGGCAGCAAATAAAAAGTGGGCAACATTAACGTTTCAGAACTATCAAAATTGCGTTCTCTTAAGGCATGTATAATTTTCTTAAGTGTTTTTTGTAGTCCGATAAAAGAATCTTCAAAAATAAGTTGACAGAGAATAAACAAAAAACAGGTTTTATTGGTATTTTCGTTAAAATTATAAAGGAGAAAGCATAAGACGATTTGTGTCGTTCCCTTAGGGATGTGCGGTTCACTCGACCCCTTTAAGTACCATGAAGGTGAAGGAATGCAAATTTGGCCTAAACATTGACGTACTGCGGCCTACCGATGTATGAAGTCGGTGTTTCTACTTCTCCAGACAAGTCTTGTAGAAACTGGTCTCGGAGAGATGGAAGGCATGGTTAGCCTAGAACCCATGACCGAAACAACTGCCGTGTGCATTCCAAGGTATCTTTAACCTATATGCTGCACGTCCCTGTCGAAATAGTAATGAAGGAATTCTAATTTCAAACTATCGTCCCAAATTGATAGCTAGTAAAGATAGTTCATTTTCATTTGTGAATTGTTCTGGTGTCGAGGAGAGGGTGTATCGCGGTAGCTCGAACCAACCTGAAACATAAAGTTGGTGTTTGCTGGACCTCAGTAATGGGCTAGCCAAGCTTCCTTCAATGTTAGCAAATTCGTACCTTACCATTATGTGAGTATAAGAAACAATGACTTCTTACATCACCAAGTCCTGTATGTCATTGTAGTTAAATATGCAATTGATTAACTCTAAAGTATTTAATGCAGTCGATTCCACGGCGTATATCTGAGAGAGTGATCAACGCCAACCTCTGCCCTTTATCTTTAACGAAGATAATTTATTTGTTAATTTGTTAATTTGTTCTACTCTGCAACGGTTCTTCTCATTTTCAGCGATTCTCCTACACCGGTCGATATTGAACCTGCCCTGCAACACGGATTTCCACTATGTATTTGGCATTATGCAGTAACTTCGATTAGAAATCAGTTATATACGAGCCATCTCTATGACATATCCAGAGTTTTCTCCTTATTGTTACAGCTGAACTGACCGTTTGCAACTCAAATGAGGTGTCTCTAGTTGCCATTTTCGAGAAAACAAAGAGCAGTGAGAGTTCGCTGTTCTCCATTCCTTTGTACATTTCCGCTTTGAAAACGTTTAGGCTCTAAGAGTTCTCCATTCTTGCTCAAGCCCACAAAGGTGAGTGTAAAATTTCGCTATGAACTTCGATCAGTGTTCCGTAGAACAATCATAGGCGTCATTCCGTTTGTGTTCAGTGAGCCGTAAAATGCAATCCATTGCAAATATTTTGCTAATAAAACCAAATCCTCTTCTATAATTATTTTGTTTCTGAGTGTTTTCTCTCAAGGCATTTGTTTCCTTCAGATACGGGAAACGTTTTTATGAAGATAAATTTTGAAATTGTTATGTTGTGATAGCACTACTATTCAAAAAATTAAGCTGAGAAAATGCAATCAAGCCTCTCATCATAGATCGTAAACCTTTTCCAGAGAAAAACCTAGCTCGCGCTCTATCACGCGGCGCTATCGATAAGGTGTAGAAGCGTTCGGTGTTAATTAGTCCGCTAGGGGTACACCCGTGTATTCGACTCCGCTGAGAATCGTAATAGTAAGATAGTGCATGTTTGGCTTATGCAAAGCTATCGGTTTACCAAATAAACGCTTTTATTACTTACTTGATACTCGATACTTGAATGGCCCGTCTCACTGGTAGTGCGGGCCACAGCATAATCTCTATTTTTCGGAGGTTTGCTGGCTAACCCATTATGATCACATGGAGTCCAGAGGTCGGCCGGGGCAAATTCTGCCTCAGATCTTCACTACGACAGGCAGTTGCAGCCTTTGTGGCTCAGAGAGAGATTTACCACCATGCGACTTTGATACCAGGACGGTGGTGGGTCATGGTATTGCGTTACTCTTAGCTAGGCTCCCTTATGGAAATGCCGGACTCCTCAGCTTGGGAGACCCTGCCAAAGGATGAATCCCCCGCTGTACATCACGGTCCGATACCTAGGAGCACCTCGCTGTCATGGTGAGGCGGTAAGCGTTGGGAGAAAATGCTTTTATTAATCCAAACAAGTATGGTACCAATATTCCGACAATGGAGAGATAGAGAGCGGCTGAGCTATAGAACCAAGGACAATTTGTTCATCGCGTGGCACCTCTGCATACTGGGTCTCATATTATCTACACTAGTAATAATTTTCGATAAGTGGAGTACATGAGGGCATGAAAAAGTACTAAAAGATCAAAGAATTAAGTGGAAAGCCTAGTTTTGTCGTTTCCACCTGGCTCATAATTCTCTGTTGAATTCCGAATCCGATTGCCTCCACCTGAATCTTGGGAAATATTCGTCGCATTGATTTCGTAACCCTAACACACACAACTGAGGTATGCAACGAAGTTTGCACGATATATGCGGATGAAACAATTACTAAATGATAAGCATTGAGAACATTGTCGCTTTCAAGCCTAGAAAATCATCGAAACTTGCAAAGGCACTGTAAAATTCTCGTAAGATTTATTACAACCACATAATGCTAGTTGTCATGTCACGAGTTATGAGAACAACGACGTCGTTGAAACAAATGCGTTCTCATGGTCATCGACTTCCCCACCCCCATTTTTCCTCTCTACTCTCTCAACAAAAATGATGTTGAATAGCTCATAAAAAACCTCTTTCCACTTTCGACGATTTTCTTATGGATAACCTATTATGCAGGCAATTCCGAATACTTCCATTCCCTTTCCAGTGACCTATCTAGTGGGCAGAATAGGTCTCCGAAAAAGAGCTCGTTGGTGGCAGACGGCAGCTAGATAGGTCATTACTGTCACTGTCATCTGGATCTCTTTCGCATAATAATAAATTTATGCCGGTTTGCTTTGTTGGCATATCTTGAATTACTAACGTACATCAAAATTCAATAGACCGAGCTTGGTGACAGCTGTTGGTCGGCTCGTCTATTCACTGTTCACTATTCACGGGATGATAGCACTCCTTTCCTGTTCTTTTATTTCTTTGTGAGTAATAATGTGAAGTCACGTAGACGCTAGCGATACTCGCTACTCATGGAAGCATACCCTGTATAGCAACTATTGCCAGAATAGTTACTATTCATTCATCATATTGTAGATCTGTGGCAACCATATTCGTGGCCTATAGCATCGTTTTGCGATCTTGCAGCATGTAAACGTTTTCACTTCGCTGAGAAAAACATTGGTTGTCGTAAACATCCTTTGTGAAACACACTCTTTTTATAATAGTTTCCAGGATCGACTTTCTCTTAACCTCGGCATTGGAATATGAATGTGTCGTTTTCTTGTTCAGCAATCGCGAGGCTTTTAAACAGCATACATTTACTTCCATAAAAACACAATACAATACAACGCTAGCTGACGTTTCGGCAGTATCGCCTTCTTCA